TCCTCCCCACTGCTAACGTCCGGATCCCTCTCCCTTGTCTCCTCCTCACTGGTCCAAGGCTCAGGCGCCTCCTGGTGGCCAACCAGTCTCTCTGCGCCCTGCTTGGAGTTGGAACCCTGTCCAGGGTCCTCCACATCCTCCAGAGCCGACTCATAGGGCTCCTCGCTGTCGGAGTCTGGTGGCAGCTCCAACGGCTCCTGCTGGGCCACAACATCACCGTTGTGATGATAAAATGTTCCTTCACCTTGATTGTATTTCCAACATATATTTGACAGTTCCTTATACATCTTTATCGTACATCATCTTATAAAAGTTCTCATTCAAGTTATAATTCTATGCACATTCAGTCCTTTACTCCACATATTCTCCTGTTGATCAAGTGTTACGTTATTGCCAAAGTTTTTTGCCCATTTGATCCTAAATCTTCAACATATTCATCCTCTGTATTCATTTGCAAAATTAATTTATGTATCTTAGCAATCACATGTAGTCATTAGTACATAATTGTGCAAAACACATCCAACTTAAAATCAGTTCTTTTATTAATAAAATCAAAATTCTTCTGATCCAGTTTAAATATTAATATATCTCCAATTAATATTCAATACACTTTAAATTCCAGTGCTGCACTTTGAGAAAGATCTATAAAAGCAACAATTCCTTAAAGAAGATGGACATGCTTATTTGATTTAATGTGCTTCATCCTAAATAATAATGTTAAACAACAATCACATGTAATTGGTTTTGGAAGAAAGCACACTACACTCTGTATGTTAAATATGATGCTCCTTACAATCCTGAAACCTAATTGCACTGCTCCAAAGAGGAAAGTGTTTTAATTTTCTGTATTGAAGTAATAATCAGGTGGCCCTTTTCGAACTCCCATGCTGAAGGCCAGCCAGATGATGTACTGAGAACCCTGACAGTATATCTTCCAATACAAAATATGCGCTGTATTTAATTTTTCTGTAAAAATGAGTGGAAGGCAGAAATAATAATGCTGTGTGTATTTCTGCTCTAGAATGTAATATATTTACTAATAAGAATGTGACATAGCTACATGGTGTGGCATTACTGTAAGAGAACATCGCTTGTTTTGCTTGTAAATTTCAGCTGTTTTATTGCTTGTAAGTTTATAGGTTAATACGTGTAATAAATGCCATTTTTCTTAATGAGATATAACAAAAAAAATGAGCTATCTGTATAATACTGTTTTAAAATATTAATTTAATCCTTTTCAGAGTCACGACTTGAAGGATGGCTATCATTGCCTGCTAGAAACAACACAAAGAAATTTGGTTGGGTAAAAAAGGTAACTAATACAATTTTTAGGATGTTACTTTGACATGATATGCACCAGTAGGTGCGATTCAGAAACAAAAGAATCAAACCATTGTTTCTGTAATTGGGCTGCGTTTAAGAAATTATGGGCCTGGCTATGTATTGCAGCCAGAAGACCAATTCACTAATAGCTTAAGAAGCTATTAGTTTCTTAAGCATACACAGTCACAGAGAGTTGTCTTTTATTTCTGTCTGTTGGCTTTCTTTTACTGGGAAAATTTTCAATGGGGAGTGCTAGGTGTAGGAACTTAGAAAACTTTCAAAAGCTGTGCAGCAGAAAAAGGTACACAGCAGCCCTCCATCCAGATGTTTAGTTTTAGGTTGTCCTAACCTAAAGAGCAGTGGTAAGGTAATATATCGATTGTTGCCCAAAACGTATACACATATCAAGTTACTTATCCTCTCATTTTTAAAAAAAATAATAATTCATTTTTACATTGTACGTTGTTGTATTTAAAAAAATTTGTACTGGTTTTGTTTCATGCTATATTTTTTCATATATATATATATATATGTGTGTGTGTGTGTGTATGTGTATGTATATGTATATGTATGTATGTTTTTTTATTTTTTGCTGATAAATAAATAAAGGGAGACTAGTATAGATCTATTTCAAGCTAT